CTTTGACCAGAAGGAGAAAATACACACTAGATAATTCACCATCGAGATACGGTTCGAGCTTGACTGTTAACGGCGATCCTGCGAGAATCTACGATGGCAGTCCTCAGGATACTACCACGTCCATCATGGGTGATCTGACTCCGAAACCACCAGCAAGAAGGTGGATAATTTTGCATTATTATATAATGCTATTAATAATCCTTTCGCTCTTATTGTGAATTTCTTTTTTTTTTAATTTTCTCAAGTATAAATATACTAAGTTTTTGTAATATTTTCGTTATGAGGTTTGGTCAAGTGAGTCCAAAGCCAACGGACAAGATACCAGCGCTGAACTACGAGAGGAAGAATCCAAACGAGAATGGAAGTGTAACTCTTCGCGACAAGACACCAGAAAAAACGCCTGTTCCCCCTTTGTAAGAGGCTAAATCTCACGTTTTATGTTATGTTAGAAAATCTCAATAGAGAAATATGGAGACGAGTTAAAATACAATTGTCTGTTCAGGCGAAGATTCGGTAATAGAGCGTCGCAAAGGACGAACACAGGTACTGTAGACTCAGAGGAGGATGCAAATCGATCAGGCGACGCGACGATGTGCGACGAAAACGAGAACGTCCCTGGAGAATTCATGTTCAAAAGATGTTCCCAGGACGCGTACAGACGGTCGAATCTTTCGATAAATAGCTGCATTTCTGTTGGAAGTACGATGAGTTCGTACGGTCGTAAGAAACGGAGAGCACCTGAGCCACCACGACGTGCAGAGAAAGTGGAAACGAACGAGGTAAAATTAAAGAGACTTCTGAATATATGTACCTGTGAAATATCGTTCAGATTCTTATATTTTTTTCCTATATCTTATTTGTAGAAGGTTCCCGAAGTGTCCAACATAGAACTTCAGATAGTGGAACCGATCGACATAGCGAGAGTTACCGAGAACATTGACCAGATGACAAAGAAGAGCGAGGAGTTGGAGCAGAAGACTAGCGAGGTGAATGATAAGTCGGTGGTTTCGACATCTGTAGAAGCTGTAGAGGAGAAGGGTGGTTCGACGAAGACTGTGGAAAATAACACAGGAAACCCATTTGGAGAGGAAACTTGTACAGAGGAAGATATTCTAGGAAAAGAACAGTCAGCAGCGAACGCTTCGAATTCGACCACGAATGATGAGGAAAGGACGAAAAAAGATTCTGTTGCTGATGATACTGAGGAACCTGTTAAAAGGAACGAGGAAGATATTCAAATTGAATATCGTAGAACATCTCAGGAGAACATAGAAATAATCAAGGACGTTGATCAGGTAAATTCGTTATCCGAGTTAGACGATGTCTGTCTTCGAAGAAAGAGTTCTTCTGGTACGTCGTCCAGGAGCGACAGTTTCTCCGTGAAGGATGAGATCGAGAAAATCGAGAGGCAGATAAAGGCTTTGGAGACCAGGAACGCTTCCAGGGAATCGTCGGAGGAAAGAAACGCGAACAGTTTGCCAGAGAACACGAGACATTCGATTCAAGAGAACCGTAGGCACTTCTTTCAAAACATGGTGGAGAACGGGAATGACAAAGGTGCGATTAAGATAGAGTTTAAGGAGTTCCCAAGGGAACAGAAGGACATTCATGTGGTGAGGCTGAACGACTCGCCCGTTCCCATAGTCGCGTCCAGAGAGCCAGTGAAAGTGATCGAGCTTCACATTTCCGAACCAATCAGGCAAAAAGCGGAGATTCTGGAGGACGTGAACCCAATACCGAAGCCCAGAAGGCACAGTGCGTTGAATTTGAACGACTCGCAGATTCCGAACGAGGCTAGAAGAAGCCTCGAATCGACTAGAGGAAAGTCATTTTAGAATTCTATTTTTAACGAAGTATTCTTCTAGAAAATTGTGCAATCGTGTTTCGACTTCAAAATTAAATGGAAGGATGGTTGGTTTTTAGTCGAGATATTTTTTTAAAGACTGTATAAACATCGTGTACATGTGCCTTTATTTAATGCTTGAACCTTTTCCTTGACCATTTGAAGTATCGTCGTGAAGCATAGTGGTCGCTTTATATTTTGATTCTAGGCAATTGTAGGATGAAGTCATTTTTATGGTGTTTTTCTGTTTTTTTTTTTAGCCAGATTATGGTATTTTCCAAGATACTTCAAAAGGTTGATAACTATAGGAAGTAAGCGTGTCACGTACTTTGAGCCTTATAAAGTCTTGATCGATTTCAGGCATAGATTATGTGATCTTAGATATTCTCCATTTATTTAGTATTTTCGTTATTTATTAAATGCGGAATAAAGTCTGAAAATTCTACTAGGTTTGTGCTGTTCCTTCTGTAAATGAAAAGTCTGTTGATAATTTTATTCGAAAGATTTCATGACTTTTTAAAGCTGCTTTTATCCGTATGATTGATTCACACTTTTCTCGAGGGTAAGGAAACCTGCTTTGTCACACGTTTGCTTCGAGATACAAAGCTTTTATTGTTACAAATTAAGAATTAGATACAGATATTTTATATAAATACTATATGTTTACATTGTAAATATTATTTTAGTACATTAATGTACTATCGTGTAATAATTGAAAAAGAAAAAATGTTAATGTATAAAACAGATTAGAACAAAATTTCTAAAGATCTTTCATTCGTTTTTCTTTATACTTTACGAATCTCGTGATATTCGTATTTACTGTCGACACCACTGCAACATTGTCTCCCAAGCTTTCCCTCTGTTGCTTCACCTATATTTCGAACATAGTTATTATAACATACTCAAACTTTTAATTTCATCATTTGAAATGCACAAATTGAAGAAAAAATCTTACCTTATTTTTAAAAAGTGGTACTACGCCATGTAATTTCTCTAATAATTTAAATTCATTTGCTAACTGATCGCTATCATCTTCCGCGTATATGTCCATTATTGCATCCAATGATTCTGCCATAATCCAAACCTTCGATTCCAATTTACAAGTCTCCAATAAAAACCATGATACATGCTGAAAAGATATTATCATGAATAACGATCCATTGTTAAACTTCGGCACAAATCTATTAATCTTACCTTGATTATCTCGCGAGCTTCGAGAGTATCATTGTTCGTTAAAATCAAAGCTAAGTTTCCCAATATTCGAATCAAATTTACTCGAACGTTCGTATTTGGACATTGACGTCCTTCACTTAATATTGGTGTAACGTCAGCTAGCGTTAGTCGATTAAAAATGTTTGCTTTTTCCTCCGATAGCTTTTGGATAGCTGCTCTCATTGTTGATGTAGCAGCTTCTAGTAATTCTATGTTATATGAGCTTGTGTCATTGAAGATAACTGTTCCAATATCCACCCACATTCTAAATATAGATGTAGAACATATTAAAATAGCTCCTTTCAACAATATTATAATCTCAATTTAACAAAGACTTGTATAAACCTATTACCTGTATAAATTTTCCACACCACCAAGTACATCAATTTCTAAACTTGTTATCAAGTTGTTTAAACATAAATAAGCTCTGCATTTTAATTTCTGCATTTGCTTTAAGACAGCTATTCCTTCAATATTTTGCAGTAGTATTTCTACTGTATCTTCATCCACTGCTCTAGTTTTATCCCACACTTTCTTTACTATGTTACAACTGTTGAAAACTTCCACTACTTCTAATGGTACAGAACCAATGGTTTTATATAGTTTGTCATTCATCAAAACATCATCTATACCCTCAGCTTCACAGTCTGAATCATCTATATAAGAATCATTCTCATCCTCTTGATCTTCTGAACATAAATTAGCTAAGATTTCTAGTGCCTGCTGCTGTGCAGTAAAAATTCTTCTATTCTCCTGTACCTTCTTCCTTGCACTGCTTGAAAAGGTATTTTTTTCATGAGGTAAAATTGATGTCAAACTAGATAATAACTGCTTACAATCAACAGAAAGTGTATCAGAAAGTACATTTATTACTTTGCAAATTGTAGAATTATTTTCTGTGCAGTTTGTCATATTAATTAACAAACCACTTATAGCAGTTTTAAGGCAAATTGTTTCAGAAATACTAGCTTCACTGACCTCTATGTTTAAGAGTTGAATAAGTGTATATTCACAGACTTTCAGTTTTTTTACAGCTGCAGAATTATCTTCTGACAAGGATAATAAGCATTGTACAATAATTGTAACAATTTCTATGCCAAAAGTGGCAATATCAAAAAATTTAGTTAAAACAGAAACAAGATCTTCTTCATTAGAACGTTTTACAGCATATTCATTATGTTCACACAATGTCCATAACAATATGATTGATTGGATGAATGCTTCCTTTTCATCAATTCCTTTGCCTTTTTCTTTTTGTTCAAATTTTGGTTGCCAATGTGTTGAATACTATAGATGATAAACAAATGAGTAATTCTTACCATAATAAAAGAGATCAAAATCAACATTTCTTTTCTAAGACTTACTTGCTTTAATAAAAAACAAAGTGGAGTCATAATGTCATCTTTCAATAAACTTGTGTGGGCTTCAATTTGTCCATTTTCTGCAATATATCTTAAAGCACTTGCACTGCCAGATCTAACAACTACATTTTGATCAACAAGTAATGGTCCTATCATTTTGGCAATTCCATTTTTTGCAATCTCTATGGCAAGGCTCGAATCGTAAGACATTGATTCCAATGTTTGTAATCCAGACAATTTTTCCTCAACATTGGCGGATTGTATCTACAATAATTACAATTTTATCGTGAATTTTAAATGTTCGCAAGGCGCAAATAATAACATTTTTACATTAAAAAACTAACTTCTTCGTATACTCTTTGCAAAGCATTTTCTCGATCTTTGTTCGTGACATACTCCGCTTCTTCTGCTTCGAAATCTTTAACAGACATAAGGCCGGTAGGGTTCTCTTTATGAGGTTTCCTTCTCTGTCTTTTTTGCTTTCCCATATTTTAACAATAGGCAAATATTACACTGGTTAAGTAAGGTTAAGCTAAAACCACGTGTTACTTCTATTCTTATCTTTCTCCTTCTTTATCTTTCTCTTTTCATCGAAGAAATTTCATCGAATAGAAATAGAACTTTAGAGCTTCGTTTCACATTATTGGTTAAAACATTTAAGATACGCAACAAATTAAAAACATACTGCAGGAAATAATACAGCGTCTTACGTCACTTCCGGTATTTTCAAAAATCAAGTAACAATAAATTACCCATAATTCTGTGGACAAAGCGTTTCTTTCTTTGCTTAGATGTTTTGCGCATGTGCATAAATGTAATATTCCGGCATTTATTTGAATAAATAATTTTTTTTCCTTTTTTTAATTACACAACTGCAAAATAACGGTTCTTATAATATTTGTAAACACATGTTTACGTAGTATCATTTTCATTTAATCATAGTCTATTTATTTTTTATGATATTGCAGTGGATTTTAAAAGAAGAAAGGGGGCATCTCAAAAACTATAAGTTACATACACCACATAGTGTTGAGATACCCACGAGTTTGGTTCGTGAGTTTCGTTTCGTGTCATTTGTAATAATTGCTTACCAGTGTTACCAGTTACCAGTGTTAATCGATTGAATTTGTTTTACATTGTGGGTGGTGTTGTAAGTTATTAATTATGTATTAATCATTGTTAAATACTACCAGTTTCGCATAGAATTATACAATTTACTTTATAAAAATTGCTTTCTCACTATTTTACAACTTCAATATCTAGTTTCAATCTTTCAGAAACGTGTAGGTTAGAAGAAAATTTATTACCGTTGATTTGTGAAACTCAATTATTTATTATTAGTATCATTTACTTTCTTCATTTCCTCGTAACACATTTCAACACATATATTATTATTATCGTAAATTACGGGATTAATATTGCGAGCTTGTCATTGTTTAGTTTCTCTTCATTAGTATATAATAGTATAAATTTTCATGATTATTAAGGAAAGGTAGAAATATTATTTTTAGAATTATTTTTTTAGTGAAGCATTAGGTATTTTTTTATTCATGCATTTAACCTTGAACCAGTTTGAATGTTTTCTACTTGTAGATATAAACATGTTAAAACATGTTATCAATTTTTTAAGTTGAAACTTCAAAATAATAGTACTGTTCCGTAAGTTTTTAATAAAAAAACGTCTTACTTTCATTGGTATCATACTAAACCAAAAATATGTTTAGTGTAATTATAGATAAAACTATAACCAAGAGAAAAAAGATAGAAAGCACTGATTTAATATTTGTAATATAATTTGCCAATTGTAACATTAAATTAACATTTATTTTAATTTCAATAGAATTTTCAAGAAGTTTTTGACAAATCATGTCTGAGAGAGGACGAGGTAGGAGTCGTGGAAGAAGCCAAGGTCAGAGAAAACAGCAGTCCGAGTATCCTGGCCATCAGTCTGGTCCACCATCACAATCAAGTGCTTGGGGACGTAAACCTGGAACTGAGTCGTCACAATCGAGAGCTCAGTCTCAACCAGGACCTTCCTCACAAACACCATATGCAAGACCACCTGCTCCACAAGTAATTTAAGAGTCTAATAAACAAAATTTATCAAGTTTTATGCTTTGAGATATTATCTTAAAAGATGTTTGTTGAAAAATTAGATATTAAATTAAAAAGATTATACATATTCTATGAATTGTACTATTACATATTTGTGTTTGTGCAAAGTAAATGTAAATCTAAGATACAAAAAGAGGTGAAAGTTAGTGTTTGTATTATTGTTCAGTAGAAAATTCCTTTTTCTATTGTAATCTCATAAAATTTTTGTAGTTATATCTTTCATATTTGGAATTTATATTATAACAAATATTTCTGCAAATTTTTATGTATTAGAGTGTTGAAAGAGCCACTCAAAGATATGCTCCCAAAGCAGAATCTGCACCAGGATATAAAGAGAAAGGTGGTTCAGAACCAATGGAAGGTAAATTTTGATTTTTGCCATTTGTTCAAATATATTATTTAATTAAACGTGGAGTTACACACAGATCTTTTAATATGTGAATATATTTCTAGTTTGCGAACGTGGAGATGCTGGAGCAGTAGCACTGGGAAGAGGAGCTATGCGCGGAAGACGTGTTATAGTTCCGGAAATTCTTACAAGACCGGCAAATTTAGTAACAAAGAAAGGTTAACATTTAGGAGTTTTATGTGTATGTAAAATGCATAAAATATATATAACATAAAGATTGGAATTTTTAGGTACTACCGGAAGTAACATAATGTTACAAGCGAATTATTTTAAGTTACTTGCAACAACCGATTGGTGTTTATATCAGTATCGTGTGGATTTTGCACCGGAAGAAGACAGAACTGTTGTTCGAAAAGGTTTACTTAGACTGCATAAAGAAACTGTGGGAGCATACGTTTTCGATGGAACTGTTCTTTATACTAGTAGACGTTTACCAGATGTGAGATATTTCAAAGGAAACTTTATATGTGTAGTTTAATGAAATTTGGTTTCATACAATATAAATTTAATTGTAGAACTTGGAGATGTATTCTGTGCGACAATCAGATGATACAAAAATCAGAATCTCTATACGCCTGGTTGGAGATATGATGAAAGGCGATCAAAATTATATTCAATTTTTCAATATAATCATGCGAAAATGTCTGGATTTGTTGAAACTACAACTTGTTGGTCGTAATTACTTTGATCCACGCAGTAAGGTAAGTAAATAAATGATTTTTTTCCTTTTGATTTATTGTACTCTAGAATTATTTTATACATATGTGTAATTAAATCATAGGTAGAAATTCGTGACTACAGAATGGAACTTTGGCCCGGATATTTTACATCTATAAGGCAAAATGAGAGTAATATTCTTATGTGTTCGGAGATTACACATAAAATCATGAGACAGGAAACATTATTAGATATCTTGAATGATTGTTATGAACGCAATCGTCATGACTACAAAGTACAAATGCTGTTTACGTATATCTTTAGGATTAATTATATATTTATATTAAATACTGTGTTATTCCAGACTGCATATGCAAATCAAGTGATGGGTTTAGTTGTGCTTACCGATTACAACAATAATACGTATCGTATAAGTGATATAGATTACGATACAAATCCCCGTTCGACATTCCAATTACGAAACGGGGAAAACATATCATACATGGATTATTACAGAAATAAATATCAAATCAAGATTCGTAATGAGACCCAACCAATGCTGGTAACTAGATTAAAGCCAAAAGAGCGGCGAGCTGGTCAGCCTGAATTTATATATCTTGTACCTGAACTGTGCCGTGCAACGGGTACCTTACGTTTATACAATTTATGCACATTGAAATATTCGACATGTAATAGATGGCTGTATATATGGTGAATGTGATTTTCGTGCAGGTTTAACCGATAATATGAGGAATAACTTTCATTTAATGAATGCATTGGCAGAACATACCCGTGTCTCTCCTAAATCACGTATAGATAAACTGATGGCGTTCAACAGAAGACTCCGACAAGAAAAGGCAATAGTACAAGAATTGCAAGATTGGAATTTGAAGCTTGATGATAGATTAGTAGACATACCGGCGCGTGTTCTGCAACCAGAGAAAATTATACTGGGTAATAAGATAGCAGTTTCTTCTGGACAGTTTGCTGATTGGACCAGAGATTTGCGTAGCAAACCGCTATTCAATGCGGCTCGATTGAGCAACTGGGTGGTCATTAACGTGACTCGTATGAGACGAGATGTAGAAGTAAGATATTTCAAAATTTTATAAATTCTATAAACTACAATCTATTTACTATTACGCACTTATTGTCGAAAAATATTTTATGTTTTATAGGGATTCGTCAGAGTCCTTCAAGAGAGTGCCTACGATGTAGGTTTCAGAATAGATGCCCCCAGATACTGGGACATAAATGATGACAGGTCAAATACCTATTCCGATACCCTTGAAAGAATAATGAGCTCCTGTAATCCCGAATTAGTTTTCTGTGTAGTATCTAATAACCGAACTGATCGATATGCTGCTATAAAGAAGAAATGTACGGTTGATAGGCCAGTGCCGTCGCAAGTTCTTCTTGCGAAGCAGCTTACAAACAAAAATATGAGAACGATAGCTACCAAAGTAGCGATTCAGATAAACTGTAAACTAGGTGGAGCACCGTGGAGTGTTGAATTACCACCGATCAATTTGATGGTTGTCGGTTTTGACGTGTGCCATGACCCCAGTGACAAAAGTCGTGATTTTGGTGCACTGGTGGCGTCATTAGATAAAAATTTGACGAGATACTTCAGTGCAATAAGCGCGCATACCTCAGGGGAAGAACTTTCTAACGAATTTTCTGTCAATTTAACCAAAGCTTTACATAATTATAGAGAAATGAATAAGACTCTTCCATCGCATATCCTCATTTATCGCGATGGTGTAGGTGAAGGTCAAGTACCTTATGTTTACGAACATGAGGTGGAACAGATTAAATCGAAATTGAACAGTATTTACGGGAATCCCGCTGCCGTCAAAATGGCATTTGTGATAGTAACAAAGCGAATCAATACTCGGGTCTTCCACAGCCAAAACAATCCTCCACCAGGTACAATAGTCGATGACGTTATTACAAATCCATTGAAATACGATTTTTATGTTATATCTCAAAAAGTACGAACCGGCACAGTATCGCCATCTGCGTACAACGTAATTGCGGATACAACTGGTTGGAGAGCCGACCAAATGCAAAGAATGACGTATAAGTTATGTCATATGTATTATAACTGGACTGGTACTGTAAAGGTACCAGCACCGTGTCAGTATGCCCATAAACTTGCATTTTTAGTGGCGCAGTTCATACGTCGTCCGCCAAGTACACAGCTGGAGAATCTGTTGTATTTCCTGTAATTTTTAGGATATATGAAAAAAAGAATACTTTATTTTTTCAATAATTTGCACAAGTTCCATACGTAAACTACGTAATATGTTGGCAGTGTTTTTTCAGTATTTCTTCATTTAATCGATACCCAGTTACACAATTTTGCTAATGAGACGAAAGGATTTGATGAAAATTATGTAAATTGATATTTTCATTCACATTTCAGCGTTTTTACTGTATGATACATAATAAATTTAAGAAACGTGTTTATAATTCTTTTTTCTTTTTTATGTTACATTTATTGATGCATTACTTCAAATTGATTTATATCTTAAATAAAAGTTTATTTGTATAGTGGACATTTGTACATTCCTGCATATCGCAGATTACAAACTAATTTTTCGTTCGGCGATATATATTTCCGTTCATGATCAAATGGAAGATATTCATTATTTTTGATACCAGATGGCACTGCATGTCATCATGAAAGTACCAACATGAAAGTAGTTTGAACTAAAATTTCGAGACTTTTCAATTAAAAATAAAATACCCTATAATTAGATAGCAAACTGATTTGTTGTATACTGTTCTTAAGTTCAACAGAATGTAGGAAAGTAAGCAGAAGCACGTCGAGTAAGATTGAATGTTGTGAAATATATGAATAAAATTTTGGTTTCTTCTGTGACGAATTGAAAATCAAGGTACCTGTGATAAGTATTAAAATTTTAATACAGTAATAGTATTATTCGTATTATTTACATTTTTGTAGCGAATAAATGTACACTTGTTTATTTGCTTAGTATCTAATATATTTCTAAGGTAATACTTCAAAGACAACTTGCAAGATAGTATATCTTGTGCAAATTTTAGCTTATGTATTGCACTTGGCACTGATCAGTTTTTTCTTATTCTTTAGAACCATGGGAGAACGTAAAGGAACAAATTTGTATTATCCACCGGATTACGATCCGCGTGTTGGTGGACTTAATAAATTTCTTGGCACTCATGCATTACGTGAAAGAGCACGGAAATTGCATATGGGCATCCTTATTATCAGATTTGAGATGCCATATAATATATGGTGTGAAGGATGTGGCAATCACATAGGAATGGGTGTTCGTTATAATGCAGAGAAAAAAAAGATTGGAATGTATTACAGCACACCTTTGTATCAGTTTCGTATGAAATGTCATCTATGTGATAATCATTTTGAAATAAAAACTGATCCAGCGGTAAATAATGACAATAGATAGTTTTAATATTTTTAGTAATTTAGAATCTAATAAAAATTCTGACTCATAGAATTTAGATTATGTGATAGTGAGTGGGGCAAGACGTCAAGAAAATCGATGGGACCCTAAGGAAAATGAACAAGTTGTACCAGAAACAAAAGAAGTATCTTGTAGATTGTACGACGATGCAATGTATAAGTTGGAACATGGTATAGAAGATAAAAAAGTAGCAAAATCACGAGATTCTTCTTTGGAATGTGCAATAGCATTAAATGATGCTACATGGAAGGATGATTACACTTCAAATTGCGCCTTACGCTCCGCATTTAGGGTATGCTTTGTACTTAATAAATTTATTTATTATTATTTTGTTGTAAATGTTTCAGTAGTTGATGACCGACAAGTGAATGTTATTGCAGACACGGAAAAAAGAGTTGCAAAAAAGACAAGGTATTGATCAAATGTTACTTAAAAAGAGTGGGTTAAATATTGATTTAGTTAATGAACATGAAGATGATGTGAAGTTGGCAAAATTACTAATGTATAAGAAAGGTAATCAGTTAAATGATATATTTACTGTAAACACATTAATGCTCGAAGGATGAAAATACTGTAATTTCGTTTTTTGTATTTCAGAAGTGAAGAAAAATGAACACAATCCCTTGAAACGACTGGTTTCTGTTGTACGATCTAAAGATAAATTAAAAAAATTATCACATTCTATACCAAGTAGTAGTGTTAAAAAGCAAAAGGATCAATTACCAAAACTTTCAGAGTTAACCCAACAAGAACCTTCGACGTCCAAAACAGTTGGCTGTACGTTGAATACGTCGTTAGTCACTTACGATAGTTCCGATACAGATGATTCGTAGCATTTTGTACTTGTAATAAGAATATGTATATATGTAATTAATATACTTTATAATGTTTTGTTCATTGTATATAATGAACAATATTTGTATATAAAAATGAGGTATTAAAGAATAATGTAACGATATGTTTATTAATATTACACTTTTATGTATATTGTTGTATCATCACTGAAAAAAGTTTATAATTGAACAATTTTATTTTACATTTTTATTAAATTATATTGTAGACACATTGAATTATGCTTGTTAGATATTTAGCATGTTACTTATATGTTCATATATTTTTAATTTCATTTCTGTACAATTGTATAACACTTATTTATACATCAATAAGAGATTGTTGTTGTTCTACAATCGCAGCGGTTGAGGAAATCAATTTTTTTTTTACTACATGAATCTTCTTATTTGAAAGACAAATAATGTAACAATGATCTGGATATGTTATTGATATTTTATCAAAAGCCTCATTATTGGGAAATGCTTTGGGATCGATTTTATTGGTTAGTGTGACTAAACCTACAATAATGTTTGCAAACTTTTCATCATATTCCAGTTCACCTCCAGACTAAAATAAAATATAAAAATTTAGAAATTTGTACAGTTTTATAGAAAACAATCATCACCGAGCATTCGAATTTTTGATATAATTTACGTAATAAAAATGAGTTACCGTTAAAACAGCACCATCCTCTGTTAAAATTAGATGTCCAATTTGGTCAGGAATACGTTCCAGTGAAAACATATTTTTATCTGTTACAGCAATTGAAATATTTTATTTATCTTAAATTGAAAATTTGCAAAGAAAACATTACGTTACACTAATCTCTTTTTAACGAAGACAACACAATTATTTCTTGGTAAACACTTCAATTCTAACCTGTTTATTCAGGATCGATTGAACGCATTAAATGTACGGAGAATCACAGATGTACTTAGAATTAGTAAATCGTACAGAGAACGAAAGAAATCGAAATATAAATGTTATTTCACGATTTTACAGAAACTACAATAGGGAATTACTCAACGAACTGTCATAATAATCATCCTTATACTACGTATCTTCTGTCTGCGTAGGGTTCTGTTGATTCTTTTTCGTCGGTAATACAGGATTTCCTTCGTTCAGTATGATAACAGAACATACATTAAAACGAACGTAATCCGAAGAGTTTACAAAGTGATTCGAGGGAAAAAAAAGCGAAGGATAGAAGAAAAATCTATCATCTCGCCTTAGATCCTGTCACTTCAATATATTTCCTCGATCATTTGAAATTACTTAAACAGCAAGTTAAGTATTTTATTTTCATTAACCACTCAAATACTTATTGTTTTTAATATATTCAATTGATTCGTTATCAAAATTGCTTCTTAATTTTTTTCTTTTTTACAGTCTAGAAATAGACGAAAGGAATCGAAGAAAAAGAAGAAAAAAGGTATTAAAACCAATCGTTATATATTTTAACGTATTCATACTATCCAGAAAAGAATCGCATACATACAATTATTGTATTAAATGCGCCAACAATATCGCATTGTCCCCATATAATTTCTATATAAATTTATTTCAGCCGCATTGAAGGGAGAATTGCGCAGGCCGCTATCAGTGAGTACGGGGCATGCGCGGTACGGTCTCAGTGGTTCTCTCCAGCAGCGAGGCTGCGGTATCAGGTACGGTGTCATTCGTCGCGCGTCTTCTGAACGCGCTTCTTCTGTATTCGTATTGTACCGTGTCGAAACTTGTATCCAGGCCACGTGGTTTCCGGTGTTCGAACTATTCGAAACAATCCGCGTAACATCAGTGAAATATCGTTCCTTTCGTTTTACCCGTGGTCCAGCGACTTGGTTCGATTATCGAATATCGTTGCCTCGATCGGTAACTTGATCTTTCGATTATCGAACATGTTATTTTCCGTTTCCATGGTTACGGTGCGCGGTTAACGGAGGCGGTTGCTGTACGTTTGATTTCGCGGCGAAATATCTCCAGTTTCTCGTCCGTAATTTACGTACATACGTGGTTTTTCTTCTTCTTTTTCGCTTTTACTTTCGGGGGCGAAACATTCGAACGCCAGTGTGACTATTATTTACAGTGCACGCGGACGTATCGAGTTTTCGAGGAGAAGTGCGAAATGTGACTGAATCGTTGCTGCTGATCTGTTACCTCTAGTTGACCAGGGGCTATGTCCAGACGGAAGCAGGCGAAACCTCGATCTCTGAAACGTGAGTACATTACCTTACAATCTTTCCCTTCGTTATCAGATACATACGTAGGAATTCCATGAGTCAGCCGTGGAAGTTTAGGCGTTTAAGCGGCGACTTCGCGATGCGGATGTTTTTATTTCTTCGCTTCTGCTTTAGGGTACATACGTGGTTTCCGTTGTTCAGTCGATTGCAACACGTGTTAGTACACACGAGGCATGTCGAGAGAGAGTTTATCGCGATCTTTTGCATGCGAGGAAAACAAAAGAGAAAAAAACGTCTTTCCGTGTTATAAAACGTTGCTTTCGCGCACGAAACAATTTATACGTGATTTTGAAATTGTTTCGTTACGAGTTACAAAGGTAACATGGACGAGGGTCACGTGTCACGGGGCGGGGGGAGTAACGGCAGGTGGAATATTGGGTAAGATGTCGTCGAACATTTCAAACGAAATATCGTATTCGTCGTATTAATCAGAACGTTAAATATTTCGTACTTTCGAACGTGACGAATAAAACCGTTCATTTTATGCTCAATATTTCAGGTTAGTTTTTAAGAACACACAAGAATTTCGTCCAATCAAACGAACATCGGCAATATACTCTATCGTTACATTCGTTAGAACGCAGGCGCTTGTGCGTACGTTTACCCAAAAAATCGGGTTACAAAAGTAGAAAAAACAACAACGAAAGGATCGAACGAAAAATTTCCTCGAACCGACAAAAGTTCAACCGATTCTCGGTAATAACCACAAGCGGAGATACAGGTGTCTCTGTGCCACGAGAGAACGAGGAAGAGAGAGAGAGAGAGAGAGAAGGAAGAAAAAAAGAACAACGAATGCACGCGGTTGGATGAATGAAGGAGAAGGTGACAAGGCACGTTAGAACGGAGAAATAGCGGTACGAGCAGCTTGCTCTCATCCGGAATGATCCGGGCATACGTGTTCCCGGATAATCGGGATAACGAGAGAGACGGTCAGAACTTTGGTGAAAGAGAGAGAACCGGGGAGAGCATTGGATAACAGGCTAAGAGAGAGAGAGAGAGAAAAGCAAGGGAAAACGAACGTAACAGGGTAAAATGGAGAGAGATATCGTTGACGATGAAAGGAGAGGGTTGAAGAGAGGCAACCAGGTTTCGCTAGAGAGGGAAATACCGATAGAAACACTATGCGAGCCTCGTGCCGTGGACAGAGAGAGAGAGGCGGGCGTGAGGGGGATGGAAAAGAGGGAGACAGAGTCAGTAGTCAGCCAGGATGGAATTAGGTGGAAACCCGCGGGACTGCTGCCTCTCCCCACGGAATTCCCGGCCTCTGTAATCACCAGTTCTCCTATCCTATCCAATTCTGGTCGCACTGCTTCCACCTTCTCTCTCAAACTCGTTGTTTCCTTCATCGTTTCGCCTCTGTTGTTCTTTCCAGCGCATCGTCGTTTCCACTTTTTCTTTTCAACCATCTTTTCTCCTCCGCCCTCTTCCTCTCTATCTTTAGTGTCGTTCTTTCTCGTTTTACACTCGATGTTCCATTGCTTGGTTTCCTTATGTTCGATTGTGTACCAGGTTAGAGCTTCTCTTAAGATTTTTTCGTTGCGAGATTTTCGGTTTTTAACGGTGTTTATCGGTAGCGTGTTCGAGCTCGGTAGTTTGCTCGTGGAATATGCCCGTAAGCCAATCTTCTCTGATACAGTCGGAGAAATGGGGCACACTTATCGTCATTCTTGGCTGAACGCGATAGCGTCGACGAATCGGATTATATAGCGCTGTCCATGGCGGAAGATTCGGGCGCCCGAAGTGCCCACCGTGGCCCTGGGCCGCCCCGCGGGCAAACTCCTGAGCACCGCACAGTAAAAGCTAGAGAAGAGAGGTGTAACGATGGAGAAACTATAATTAATCCTTTAACCTATGATTTTCTTCTCTTACCGTGCATCTAAGCGTCAGCCATTCACAGTACTACGAATTTCTAATTAATTACATTTAGCGATCCTCGGTGTTACAAATTCAAACGAATTTTTTTTGAACGATACAACCATTTTTGTCGCACTTCCACCAGAATCTCTGTTGTCATAAGCGAAGGGGCGAAGTAGCTCAGATATCGGCCAATTGAAAAAAGCATCGTTATCTTGGAAAATGGCGAATGTTGGTCTTTCCTATTATCCGTTGAAAGATGTATCGCGTATATTTTTATGAAAGCAGACGATGTTTCATATTTACCAAGGTTGGATGTAGCTTGATTAAACTATTACCGCAGGGGAAGCATTTTATCGCGGGGTCTGTTTCCACGTTGCCTCGGTCGTAAGTAGAAACAGACAGACCGAGACAGACATCTGGAGAACCGTATTACTGTTCTGGCTGAGTAACCTTTGGAATTCCTTCTGTTTAAACTCGACTTCTTCCACGTACTCTTGGATAAAACAACCCTTTTTCCGAAACATTTGTATTAATAGAACGGAGATCCTTCAATTTTCATTCCCCTCGCAGCGTTCTGAAAATGACCGGTGAAACGATCGATCGAACGATAGATTAGACTACGAAGCTCAATCTTATCGTCGAACATTGGTACATCATAGAAATTGAAGAAATTCGAAATCGTTAATTTAACATGAAACTTGATCGGTGTGAATGGAGAATTGAATTTAGTAGTACAACTCAACGTATAACTAAGAACAGTAGTACAGCTCGACAGTAGAAACATCCAATCACTTCATAATTATACATTCCAATTTTTCACACATTCCTACATCTTACCTTCGCCCACTTCCTCAACTATTTTCCTCCTAAATTTTTACCTTTCACCACTCTCAATCTCCCTAATTAATCTCTCGATCCATGCATCAGGCACACGTTAATTTGACTAAACTAAAAACCAGAAAAATTCTCCAAACTTCGCACACAGCCGTGTGTGTTTAAAACACACGTTTAAAACACTCTCAAATGGAATTCGAACGAATAGTTCGGTTATCACAAGAGGGAGAGACTCTTAGTGAAATTTCGAAAATTCTCCTGCTCCTCTTATCGCGAACTATAATCTTACCTTCATCTACTTCCTCAACTATTTTCCTCCCAAATTTTTACCTTTCACCACTCTCAATCTCCCTAATTAATCTCTCGATCCATGCATCAGGCACACGTTAATTTGACCAAACTAAGAACCAGAAAAATTCTCCAAACTCCACACACAGACGTCGATAACGAATAGTTCGGTTATCAGAAGAGGGTCTCAATCTCCCTAATTAATCTCTCGATCCATGCATCAGGCACACGTTAATTTGACTAAACTAAGAACCAGAAAAATTCTCCAAACTCCACACACAGACGTCGATAACGAATAGTTCGGTTATCAGAAGAGGAAGAGACTCTCTGTGAAATTTCGAAAATTCTCCAGCTCCTCTTATCGCGAACCGTAATTGCCTGATCGAAAGGGACAAAGAGGAAAGGACGATAGAGAGAGAGAGAGAGAGAGTGGGAATTAGAAGGAGCGTAGAAATCGCGCGTTTCTGGCAAAAGCAATTCGGTGTCCTCCTATCGGATCAGCAGCCAGGTGTACCACCACCAACATCACGGTGGAACATCACGAACACGCGGTTAGCCACGAAATAGCAAGCCTGGCCGATAGCATTGCGAGAGCATCGGTGATATAGGGTGTCGCTAATTAATGCACGATAATGAACCTGGGCGCAACCGAAGCTGTATTAATGGATTCCAATGCCCGTCATAACGTGGACGATCCGTAGGTGCATCGGAACCGTCCGTAATTGCGTTAATGGAGGCCCATCTGTTTGCGCTGTCGGCTTTTGGGCTACTTATGCTCGTCACTCGTCCAGCAAATAATCATCTACGAGAGAGCGAACCGTGGATGCTCCCCAACTGGACGCTCAACGAAATTCTCACAATTTCCATGGAATTCGATCGCTTATACGGTGAAATTATTCTGGAAATTATGCGAAAAGGATTTTTTTTAATTTTTCCTAGGTTTCGTTATCGACGAGATTTTGGTTCGTTGATTATTAATTCGATATCGAAAGTATCATACTGTTTGGTGGAGTAAAATATCACAATTTCCGTGGAATTCGATCGTTTCTACGGTGAAATTATTCTGGAAATTATGCGAAAAGGATTTTTTTTAATTTTTCCTAGGTTTCGTTATCGACGAGATTTTGGTTCGTTGATTATTAATTCGATATCGAAGGTATCATACTGTTTTTTGGAAAAATATTGGGATATTATGTGAGCTTACTTTTATAGGATGAAATTTGGGTTAACTGTAGAAAGTTCGAGTTGACGATTTTTTCAGAGTAACTCTAAGGATTTCGTGGATTATTTTTTAGAACTTTAGTTTGTCGGAATAATTGCGATTGTTTCATTTTGGACAGGCATTTTCAATTAAACCTTCGCCGTAGGATATTAAATAGGACGGAACAAATGAATTTTCCACGAATATTGCTGTATCGATGTTGGACAGAAATTCTTCACGGTGCAGTCATCGTCAGATTTACAATCGCGATTTGTCATTAATATTCGCCATTACAGAGGGACATTGGAGCAGCCGGTGATCGTATAATAGTAAACATTATAATCGAAAATCAGGACGCAATGACCCGAATCGCAGCGCATTATGCTTCAGGGTCGTGATTGTAATTTGCGTCTCTCGCGTAAATGCATAATAATAATCTCTTAATTAACGCCCACCCACGTGATAACAATTATTAACACGTAGACGGTTTCGTTTCGTCGGAGATCACCGTTGAAAATTCCGCGGTTGAGAAATTTGCGTGAAATAGAGAGAAGAAAAAGAAGAAAATTCGCCTAAGGGTCGTCTCTCTCTATGATAATCGATTAAACGGGGGGAAATAATTTAGACGAATATAGAGAGGCCTGGTGTAGAAGCAATGGTAGAATGTAAATTTCCAGCTTACGCTTTTAATCCGTTTAATCGTGGGCTACTCTAAAACTTAATCCGCTATTAGTTTTTGCAGTGACAGCCCTAATTCCTCGACGGTGGTTATAGTGATTATAATGCAACTTCTAAC